CCTCTCCCAGGATTTTTGGTTTTTTACAGACTTTATAAATTCTAGTTTTGGAAAGATACTAGGATTCTCTCAAATACAATGAAGCTCTGTTTTCTTCTTAAAGTGAGTTGGCAGATTTGGTAAATATAAGTGTGTAGATCTGTCAAGAAGATTAAAATTGTTGGACAAGCCAAAAATATATATATTTAGCCACGTTATGCTGTTATGACCCTACTTTCTTATTGAAGGTCACATTTGAAGGAGTATGTATGGACACATTCATCTTGGAGTCCAGCATATGAGGCTAATAAAAGACAGAGAACGCTCTGAAGAGGAGAAGAACCCAAGAACAGTTTAGCTGCCATGCACTCTTAAGTAACAAGAGACACCAACTCTCCAAACTTTCACTGGCCTTCTTCATTTTGGCCTTAGAGAATGCAGTTGTCTGAGGTCAGCCACTGGCCAGGGACACAATAAGGAAAGCATGTAGCCTCCGGCAATCATGACTGATATGATATGTTATGTTAGCACCAGGAGCCAACATAATTGATGCACACAAAAACCAAGGTTCAGTGCAGATGTGACACCAGTCAGGAAGAGAGCTCCCTCCACTTTTATGGACACTGGTGCAATGCATGCACTTGTTTTTGCTGCCAGAAACACCGTACTCTTTGCAGGCAGAGACCGACTTCATGAAACTGGTGCCTTGTTTTGCATCACTGCAGATCAAGGAGAAAATGGCACAGAGGCATTCTCTCTCTCTCTCTCTGCAATGGCTTGTTACAGTTCGTCCGTAAGTTGAAAAGAAGCATGACAGCCTCTCTCTCTCTCTTTTTCCTCTGTGAAATATTATTGGTACAGATAGATATAATACTCTCCCTTTTGCTGAAGAGGTTACCAGCTATACGCAATGCAGCTTCCTCTGAAGGTAACCTCAGATCCCACATTCTGAAAGCTAATCAATGTTGTTCAGATTTCAATTTCTTCACTACAAGGTGAAGTCAAACCTAATCTAACAAACGTCAGTCTCAGATGTAATGCTGCTAGCCGGCCTACCCAGTGTAATTTAGATAATCATTAATAGCATAGCTGTGTACTAAAACTACATGTCACTTACAACTTCATTCCAGCATTGACTGGCAGATCTTTTAGCCAGGCACTCTTTCTTTTTTTACCCCCTAGAAATGATTGCGGGGGGGGGGGGAGATTCGGGGTTTTTTTTTCTCCTTTTTTTCTTTGATTGGGCAAATATCAAAAGTGGCGTGATTCCCACATCAGAAATAACATGAGGCTAAACTGGTTCACCCACATAATACCATCCTCTGTTATCATGAGGCTAGACAAGAGCAGACAGAAATCTAAAATATGTAGAGGCATAAAGACAGAGAAAGCATTTTGCTGGACATCCTTTTGACTCCACCAGAACAGCCACTTGTGTGGCACACCTAATCCTGATGTTGTCAACTGCCATGCCAAGCAGCCACTAAGACATATGGCAGACACCCACACTTACCATGTTCTATGACAGGTTAAGATCTTTTCATTCTCCCAGGCTTTTAATGGATGATGGGTGATAGCTGCTGCTTTTATCAGTCTGTTTGTGTAGAACTGAACTCCTGCCAGTGTTGCTGTCCACAGTCATTCTTACTGTGACTTTCAGGGATCATAAGGAACTTAATGTATGTTTATTTGTTTGACTTTCCACCAATGGCTTCCAGAGCAGCTAAGATCATTAATTTAAAACAATCTCAGAAATGTAAGTCGGTACTTTAAAAGCAGTTGATTAAACAGTCAAATCCTTGGAAGCCCACATTTAATAAAAATGCCTTTGCCTGACACTTAAAACAGAGCAAAATGAGCTCCTGGTAAGCCTCTATAGTAAGGAAATTTCATAAATCAGACGCACCCGTGAGCAAGCCTCCGTCCAGCCAACTCCCCACACATGCATCCGGACGGTGTGTATCAGGCCAAAACATAAACATAAAAATAAAGAAGACAAAAATATCATGGCTTTCATGGGCAGGTTCACTTCCTCAGATGTAAAGAGTTGTTTCTGCTTGACATGCTAGCACAGACTAACACAACTGATCTCTACTAAAACTATTACTATGGATGGCATGTGCGTGTGTGTGTGTGTGAAGGGAGAAGACTCACTTGACAATCTCAACATATGGTTTTGCTTTCAGGAGAAGACCCAAGTAGCATAGGGCTTTACTGACAATTTCTCAAGATATTTTAATAGAAAAGCGATGGATTTTTTTTATTTTTTTATTTTAAAAGGGAAAACAATGAGTGGGAAATGGTGGTTAGTGTCACCTGCCTCTAATGCTATGGATTCATGTTGGTACATGTAACTTTTCACAGATATGCCCCATGGTTATGCCTGCACTATGTATGTATGTATGTATGTATGTATGTATGTATGTATGTATGTATGTATGTATGTATGTATGTATGTATGCATGCATGCATGCATGCATGCATGCAGTCTTTCTTCCCAAAGCAGCTGACAACAACTAAGGTTATACAGTAGTGACAGATTCAAAAACGCCATGAGAAACTAAATTAGAATACTAAAAAGTCAATAAATATATATCAATATTAAGAACACAATCAGAAACACATTTTAAAAACATTGTTAAAAACATTTAACACCTCCCACAAGCCTTTCCTTGCCACTCTTCCTTTGCCAAAGTTTGTAGGGTTAGCAACCACTTCCACTTGACTATAAAAGTACACAGAGACACACACACATACACAAACCATACCACAGGCTGTTGTTACTTAATCCACCCCTTAGCTGCACAGTCTGTGTGTGGAATCCCATCTGTGTTTTCATTTGGGGGCAACTTTAAACATTCAGCCAGACTTTTAAGAGAAGACAATGAAAGGATGAAAGGCCAGGCACAGAGTCCTGATTTTTAACAGATGTGAGGAGGATCTGCTTTATTAAAGTGGGCTTCCTGGTTATCTTCCTGGATTTCTGGTACTTTTACCTCCTGCAGTTTTCGTAAAGGTCAAGTCAAATTGCTTTTGCAAATCTGTAAGCCAAATGGTGAACTCTAATCTAAATTTGATAATGTGGAAGAAAGAAAGAAAGAAAAAATCCAGTTATTTTGGTCTCTCTCTCTCTCTTTTTTTTGTCATTTGTGTTATCGAACTTTGGCAGCAGGGGAAGAAACCAAGGAAGACCCTGAAGAGAAGCGAGAAGAGGAGAGAAGCATTTCTCAGAGTGCCTGTTTATTGCATTTGCAGGCCACCAGGCTCTTCAGCAGTTGCCGATAAGAATTCTGAGCACCTCTATCGACCCTGCCTTAAATACTGATAACGAGAGCACAAAATCCTTATCAGATGCCCCTGATGAAGGGAACCCATATCTTCTGAAACACATCGGGCCATGCAGGCACTTTGACATACATCTTCCTCTTCTGCTTTTGCTGCAAAACTCTGATACTTCACTATTTGGTTGAACCTTTTAAGACGGTGCAATGAATGGCATGGAAGATTTCACCAGCACACCGACTAAGGTGGAGTGTGATCCAAAGCAGGTGGCAAATATTAAAGTCCCACTGAAATCGACAGGGCTTAAATGCTTCTAATTGAGGGTTTTAGGTGCCTTTCAAAACAGAATTTAAGTCAGCCCAACTTTCTCTGGCCTTTTAAAGAAAAGAAATCCAGATTCAAAAGAATCTTGGGATTTATCAAATAAAAGATTGTAAATTGTCATATATATTTTTTTTGCAAAGCTGACAATTTACACAAGCTTTTCACCTAAATGGTATTATATGTTTATGTATTTATGTCAATTGCTTTTAATTTTGCCTTACAATCTCATAGATCTGTTTCAGCCTAACATTTCTTTGTTTTTCCATGCACTGGAACCTCTATGAACTAACAGGTGAACTTGCACAAAGGTCTAGGAAGCTTTCTCTCTGGCTATAGTACAAAACAGCCAGGTTTTGTAGCAGTACAACAAGAGTACATCACTCTTCGACACAATCCATATACAGCTTGTCATCAGTGACACATCACATATACAATAATCCATATGGTTTCTGCAAGACAGAGCAACAGACACTGGAGGAACCATTGTTTATTTGAGGAAACAGATTCAAGGCATCTGAGTGTGTCTAAAGCGTGAATAATAGTGGAATGTAAATCAATCAATCAATAATTTTTTACAAAATTACGCGCATTCCAGAAGCCAAAATATCTGTAAACAGGGCCACCACCATAGGCTGACATCTGCTGAGCTTGAAAGATAAACAAAATCTATGAAATATCCTTCCAACGCAACCCGAGTCTGGAGTTTACACTAGAGTACAACACGCAGGCTCATTAAAATCAGAGGGTGTGCTTTGGGTTTAAGCAGTGTTAATTAAGCCTGCCTCTTCTGCAGGGAGAAAGGTGTGCATGTCAGGTGGGGTCATCAGGGTAAAATACATCACTTTCTCTCTATTTCAAACATCTAACTGTAATTTTCCAAAGACTAATGGGGGTATGAAGCAAAAAGATTAGGGGAAAAAAATCATGATCTGCATGACAGATACATATGCACATAGGCAAACAACACACTGCTAGTTATACCGTCACTGGCCTAGTCAGGTTACTGGTTGACAATCCAAACCAATGACAAAAATGGCATATATATAAAAGTCAGTATAAATAAAAAATTGCCTTCCAAACTGTTTCTGAGATAACTCCTCCTCCAAAATACAGTTAGAGGCGCACGGACATAGTACTTGAGAACTCTTCTGATCAGGGCACATTAATCGAGAAATTGATTCATTTTAACAGCAATCCCTGTTGCATTGTGAGCAGAGCAAAACCAAAAGCGGTGTAATTAACCCAAGGCATTTGGGGTTCAGAAATAGACATTTCTAAAATCTAATGTTAAACAGAAAAAAACAGTACTATTATCTTTTGAGTTTCTTCTTACGAGAAATTTTCAAAAAAGACATTTTTTAAAAAGAGAGAGTTTTTTAAAAAAGAACAAGAAAATAAAAAGGCTTTAGTCTTACCTTATCGTCAATGTCACTCTCGCTGTCACACTGTAGATGAAAAAGGAAAAAAAATTACAAAAAAGAAATTAAAATTCTCTCTCTCTCTCTCTCTCTCTCTCTCTCTCTCTCTCTCTCTCTCTCTCTCTCTCTATTTCAACCTTTCTCCTTAAAAAGGACGCAAGATGACATGACAGTATTCAAAGCTAGCATCAGTGCATATACAAACACTAAAAATGATCAGGTAAACAAAAGCAACATCAAAACACATTCAAAACAATAAGGTACAACAATCTAGTAAGAAAACCCGACTGAGCAGCCATTCACCCTGGGAAAGCTTGTTTGAAGAAAAAAAAAATCTCCACCTGCTCCTGGAAGGACAGCAAAGATGGGGCCAAAATAGCCTCTTGTGGGAGGGAGTTCCAGAGTCTGGAAGCAGCCACAAAGAAGGCCCTCTCCTGTGTCCCTACCAAATGAACCTGTGAGGGTGTTGGGACCAAGAGAAAGCCACCATTACCCCAACAATCTTAACTCCCAGGTGGGCTCATAAAGGGATACGCAGTCCTTGAGATAGCTTGGACATAAATTGTTAGATATAATACTGCTCAAAACTTAATCAGCACTCAGGGGCTCATAATTGTGTGCATATTTATTAGCATGAAATGGATGTAATTGGATGGGGAACATAATTGGTATATATAAGAACAAACCTGGACTAAAGACCAGCATGACTTTTTCAAAGGGAAGGCTTGGCTCACCCAGGACTTTTAAATTCTTTGGTTGAAATCCTTTTGCTTAGTGTTACAAGTTGCACTAGAGTAGGCCCACTGAATCTGTGGTCCTTTGGCAAGCCAACTGCTCTGTAAGTTCCATTGATTCAAAAAAGGCCTACTCTAATTGTGATTTAACTATGCTAAGGTAGTGTAAGTTTATCACTTACAGGTTTTAAACATATTTGACAAGAAAAGCCAGTTGATAAAATCCTTTATTAAAGTTTCCTAAGCTATCGTCCTGATGCTGGGATAAGACCAACATTCCTGTTATGAACTGAAACAACAAAGAACCCTAAGGCAATTTAGAGATTAACAAGTTTTATTTGGCATCCGATTTTGTAGACGGTAAACCACGTCATCTATGGCAACTGATAATCTGGGCTGTGGTCCATGAAAGCCTGTGTCATATAAAATTTTGTTTAGCCTTTAGAATGCCACAAGACTCCTATTTAAGCAGCAACAGCTAACATGGTTAAATCCTGAAAGTTCCTATGAACTGACAACTGGATGGAAATAAAACAAAATACGATGAGAGAGCGGGATCTAAGACTTAGCTCGGGCAATCTCTAAAACAGATCCATTTGAAATGTGGTGCTGGAGGAGGGTTTTGCTGGACAACCTGGACTGCCAAGAAAGACAAGCAAGTGGGTCCTTGATCAGATCAAGCCTGAGCTATCTCTGGAATAAAAAAAAAATGAGAAAACGGGAGCTGTCCTACATTGAGCACATCATGAGAAGGCAGGATTCTCTCTGGAAAAGGCAATAATGCTGGGAATTGTGAAAAGCAGCAGGAAAAGAGAAAAACCAAATATGAGATGAACCGACTCCCTAAAGGAAGCTGGAAGCTTAAGTCTGAAAGAGGGGAGCAGGACAGTTGAGGACAGGACATTTTGGAGAGTGCTCATTCATAGTGTCACCATAATTTGGTAAAGATTGGATGGTGCATAAAAAAAACCAATAGCATCTCTAAGGATCTATACTAGGATAAAACAGGACATTTTGGAGAGTGCTCATTCGTAGTGTCGCCATAATTTGGAAGAGATTGGATGGTGCATAACGAAAACAATAGCATCTCTAAGGATCTATACTGGGATAATGGCTATTGCATTCTAGCTTTGGTTACACCAGTGGTCCTCTTCATGTTCTTGGACTACGACTCCCAGAAGCCTTCACCAACACTTCTGCTGGCCAGAATTTCTGGGAGTTGAAGTCCAAGAACATCTGGAAGCCCAAGGCTGGGGAACCACTGAGTTACACCATCTCCTCCAGGGGCAAAAACTCTGTCCTTAGGCCAAACCCAATTGGTTCCATATCACACAGGAAACATAACCTTGTCACTGAATGTGTGGTTCTGAGGACAATATGAGTCACTGAAGCTAGACCTAACACACAGCCTGGAAATCAATCTTCCTTCCTTCCTTCCTTTCTTTGTATCAGAGCTTCGCAACAGTGTCACACTTCTGGAAGTGAAGGATTTGGCCAGCAATACATTGTTGCGCAGGGGATGCCCAAGTGTATTTGCAGTGCTTTCCACTCTTTGTGGGGTGAGTGGGGGAGGAGGCTTGGGAGAAATGCATGAAAAACAATGTCACGATGGTCCACAACCTTACTTTTAATAGTTTTAACACCAGTGCTTTAATATAACTTTTGGAGCAGCCCCTAAACCTTCATTAACTCACAATATTACTGGGGGTCATTTGGGGGTTTATTTAAATGCTTTCAAAATTAAACCATTAAAAGTCATGTGTTACTAATGTATGACTAGTGATTAACGTTGGAACTATTGCAGCCTCCTATGTTGTTTTTAAGGGGATTTGACTGGGAGGGATCTTTCTGGGCTGTGATGAATGTCAATCGATACAGTAGCAGCCAATTGTTCCCTCTCTGCTTCAGATTTTGAAGAGAGCCATGCCTCTCTACCTGACAACTCTTTTTCTGTTGTTAGTGTTCAGTCAGGGTTTTATAGAAAGCTACAGTCAGTCACCACCTCATGTATTTAGTCATGAAGCTAATCAGGCAAACTCTGTTCATGTGACTAGTCAATATTTTTCTACAGAATGTGGTTTGTTTTGATCTATGAAGAACTGTGAGTAAACAGAAACCTTTTTTTCCTTTCACTTACCAGTGTCTCTGAGTTACTGAGACAGTAGGTGCCAGTTGAGGAGAATTAACCAATAAGGGGTGGGGAACTATGGGGAAACTTAACGCTAATTCTGCCTTTGTAGGTCCTTTAATTTTTCTGCAATGCATAATTAGAAGCTTTTAAGCCAAAGGAAATTTCCACACTCTGCCAATAAGTAATGGCCTGTGTTACTTTTTAAACAGTGAGCAACGACTAACAACAACAAATCATTTTTTTCTGAGGTAATGCTGCCATGACACCTTGAAAAGTAATTTTCCCATATTTTAATGTAACAGTAAGAGCCATGCTATGTACAAATGGAATCTCTGTTAAAGATAAAGAAGACGGATAGACTCAAAGATTAGAAAAATTACATGTGCACCCCACTGTGAAACCACAAAAGGATTCCCAAGAATCAGGCGATCTGATGTTCCACCATTAAAGCCAAGCTCAGAACAGGAGAAAGCAGGTATTCTCCAGACACAGATCGTTAGAACAATTTAGTCCTATGTGATGAAGATCTTATGTCCCCAAACTTCTGAAACTGTTTTCTAAATGAAAAAAAGGAATACAGCCAAGGAGAGGCAGTTAGGAAAGTTGCACTGAAGTACTTTCACATGAAATGCGCTTGTTGACTTCAAAAAAGAAATGGTTCCATGTTCAATTGTAGGTGTGGAAAGATAATAAATGTTTGGGGATGCATAGATCTCAACAGCTGGAGATGAGAAAGCACCACCATTGTAAAATAAAAAGGAAGCTATTTGGGTCTTCAGTACGAGCACAAAATGACCTCGGAACAGCAGGTGGTTTCTACATCAGAAGCAGAAGCTCCTCTTTCATACTACATGCATTACAGCCCATTTCGCCTGTTGCCCGTTGCTTTTCAAGTCACATTATTTGTCACAGAGGGCATGAATTAGTTGACTCTGGGTTTTGACATCAAAGCACTGGCAACCAACGGGAAAGATATCTGATCTTTCACATCTAGGCTGGTTCTCTGCCAAGGACAATTCATGAGCTTTTTTTCAATCTCATTACATTTTGTTTCTGTCGAAATGCACCATAGAGTCTCTCATTTTTCCAGTAACACAAGGGTCCCAGTTTCACTCTTCGCACTTCTGGCCATGGAAGTAATGTACATGCAATTAATAAAAAAATTTGATCTGTGTTTATCAACAATAGGGGGAGGGGGTCTGGAACATTTCTCAGTAGGAGAGGCTAAAAATGTATGACTTGAATATCTTGTTTAAATCTAGGAACATCTCTTCTGGTATAGAAGAGTGGTTTTCAAACTTTTCATCATCATGTTCCATTCTTGATCTGTGAGGAAACCTCACTCCTTCCCCACATCATCCTACCCCCTTTTAAGAAAGAAAAATAAATTTAAATGAAAAAAAACTGAACATAAAAAATGGGTTTAAATTAAAAAAAACAAAATGAGGAAGACTGCTATATGGTAACAATATATATATATGGTTTGGATGCAGTGCAACATCACTATTTACAGCTGCCACCTCCAAAGTCAATATTATGATGTCCAACCTCTGCACGAAGAGAAGCTGCCAAAGTAGACCCAATGAAATCAATAGGGTGTACATTAGTTTTGATTAATAAGTACAATTTATTTCAACAGGGCTCTTCTTGTTGAGATTAGAATTGGATTTCGGCCCTAAAGGTTAGTCATTTTATTATGGCATAAGCTTTCACAGACACTGTCCACTTCAACAGATGGACGGTGCCAATGAATGCTTATGAGACAATAAATTGGCCCCATTCTTAATGTACCACACGATTGCTGTTCTTCCAGCGATGCAGATGATCAATAAGAGATTATCTTTCCATCTCACAAGTTAGCATCTGCAGTGACATACTGTACTGAAGCCATCTCTGTAACCTGGGTTCTTGCTTGGGAAATCTGTTCCCTAGTTTACGTTGGCTGGCTGGATCGCTCAGTGGTTTAGATATCCAGCTGCGGATCCAGAGGTTGGGAGTTCGATTCCAGGGAGAAGGGCCAGCCTGTGTAACCTTGGGCAAGCTGCACAGTCCCAGGGCACCCCAAGAAGAAGAGAACAGTAAAACACTTCTGAGTACTCTCTAAGTCAAAAACCCTGAAGAGAACAGTAAAACACTTCTGAGTACTGTACTCTCTAAGTCAA